GTTGCGAAGAGAGCTCTTCGATATCTAGAGGGAACTGTGAATTACGGCATTCATTACAAGAGAGGTGGGGATGGTAAATTGCTTGCTTTCACGGATAGCGATTATGCAAGAGATATGGAAGATAGGAAGAGTACAAGTGGCTATGTGTTCTTGCTGAGTTCTAGTGCTGTGTCATGGAGTTCGAAAAAATAGCCAATTGTTACGCTATCTACTACGGAAGCAGAGTTTGTAGCAGCTGTAGTGTATGCGTGCGTGTCAAGCAATTTGGATGAAAAGGGTATTGAAGGAGCTCAGGCATGGTGATGAGGTCTGTACTATTATCAAGTGTGATAATAGCTCAACCATTAAGCTTTCAAAGAATCCTGTGATGCATGGTCGCAACAAACATATATATCGATGTAAGGCACCACTTCTTGAGGAATCTTACAAAGGAATCAAGTGGCAAATGTAATGACCAAACCACTGAAGGTTGATGCTTTTCAGAAGCTTCGGAGTCTGTTGGAAGTTTGTGAGATTACTGATGTAAACTAAATGCTTGATGGCAGTTAGTTTAAGGGAGGGAATGACGGGTTTGGGACTCCTTATTACTATAGGATTCTCAAATATTTAGGCTTGTTTTTCTGTTTCAAATAAGTCCCTACTATGTAGGGAGACTTGTTTTACTATTTTGACTCTTTCCTTATGCACGTTACCACGTTTCTGTTAGTGTGAATCGTGGGCTGTATTTCAGTTGTTTGTTAGTTCATGTAAGGCTATATAATAGCCAAAGGTTGCTGTTCAATGATAAGTCATTCAATCCAGTTCTTGCGTTTGAGTTCTTTGCTTTCTTGTTCTCATTCTCAACATCAACGGCTTGGACAATTCGTAGGAGAGGCATCATTGTTGATGACGAGGATGTGGATATCATCCCTGTCACTTTGGCATCCTTTTTCATTTAAGTACTAGTTATGGTTAGGTTAAATTAATAATCCCTCGCCTCGCCCTCAATTATTAATTAGTTTGGTGATGATTTGTGTCGGAGACTCAACTGAAAAATTGCACCAATATACTCTTTGGTCTGTGTTGCAGATGCGTCTCATGAATGCTTTGAAATGAAATTAATGGTGCAGCATCAGGCCTCCCTTCCCTTCCAACCTTCGTCCATTCCTCTCCTCTCCTTGCCCTATCCCCTCCCTTGGGCTTTTATTAGCTCTTGGATGGCTTGTATTGCTTGGTAGGTTTTCCTGGATTTGTGTGGCTGCTTTTGTTTGCTTTGCGTGTCTTCATTTTGCAGATTTGGAGTTCCTGCTTTTTATTTCTACTTGATGACGACAAGGTGGGAGAGCAACTTATGTATTTCTTTCCTTAGTATGTATCAACTCTTTTTGAGTTGGGTGCAAGTTTATAGTCTATAATTACAAGAGTTTAAAGGTGGTTGTAAGTTTGTACGTTGAAATGTACTGTATAAAGCTTGATATTGTCATATGAGTTTGTGCATTAGAATTGGTTTGTTACTTAAGTTTATCATTTTATTTCAATTGCTTGTGACCAATTTATCAACTAAAATAGCTAATTCTTTTGGAATGAATTATGAAAACACTGAAATTTAAAAATAGTGTTCTAATTCACTAAATGGAAATCTACTTTCTTTTAATAGCTGTTTAGTAATTAGTAAAATAACATAAATATCCTTTCTGCATCTGCGCGAGTTGAATGAATTGTTCATCTGTTCGATTGTTCATCATTTGAAGCACAAAATATTTTTAATGAATTATAAGCAAACTGTATGTATAAAATAAACTTGAATAAAGAATAATTAAATAAATGGCTGAAGCAACGCTCAATTTGGAGAAAAAACAATATCTACACCAAAAATAATATGAGAAAGAAAAAAATTGGACTGCATTTATCATTTTCGATAACAGAATGAACTTTAACAAAGAAAAAAGGGGAAGCTAGTTTGTTGATTGATTGATTGTTCTTCTCAGGAATAATGATGTCGAACAGTTTGAGCCCTCAGCTTTAGCCCGCAGGCTCCCTTCACTCTTTTTCTAACCTCTGCGTACTAAGACATGGCTTTCTTGTTTTCTTTTTCTTTCTTTTTTTTATTCTCTCTCCGTCACTCTTCTTCTTCCTCTTCTCTCTTTTCCTACGAGCATTGTGTTGCTTCAGCCCGCAAAACAGAATAAAATTAAAAAAGAAAAGAAAGTTAGTTTGTTGATTGTTCTTCTTGTCACGAACAATATTAGTTCTCAGCTTTGGCTCCCTTCACTCTTTTTCTAACCTCTACGTACTAATTAAGACATAAATTTCTCTTTTTCTTTTTCTTTATTCTTTCTCTCGCCGCCACTCATCTCCGTTTTCCTAAGAGTTTTGTGTCGCTTCAGCCTGCGAAACAGAATGTAATTAAAAAAGGGAAAAAAAGGAGGAAGTTTATTTGTTGATTGTTCTTGTCAGGAATGATGAAGCTCTCAGCTTTTTTCTAACCTCTAGGCCCTACGTACGTACTAAGACATGCATGGAAAACACATTCTGATCTTTTTCTTTATTTTAATATTCTATCTCTCTGCGCTACTCTTCTTCCTTTTTCCTGTTCTCTTTTCTCTTTCCATCTATATAAGTTTACCCGTGTAAAACCAATTTTCATCCATTCATTCATTCATCTGACCTTGTCTTACGCACAACCAAAAAGAACCACATGGATCGCACCCCTTGGACTGATCAGACTCCGTCAGCATCGGTCGAAGTCGTTGACCAGGAAGCTGCTGCAACAGACATCAAAACTGATGAAGCTGCTGCAACAGACGTCCCAATTTTAATGGGCATGGATCTAGATGTTTTCAACGCTGCAAAAGAAGGCAAAACTGAAGTCCTCAGGGGACACGATCCGCAGCATCTTAACCAAATATTGACTCCAACCGGTAACACAGTCCTCCATGTTTATATAGCTTATGCAATCACCCCAAAGCTCGTCAAACCTAAAGAAGAAGCGCCGATCAAGCCAACCAGCGTTGTGGTCGTGGAGGATATCCTTCAGGTCTGTCCGACACTGCTATGGCAGCAGAACGAGAGCGGTGAGACTGCCTTGCACATGGCGGCCAGACATGGGTGTGCTGACATAGTTGAACTTCTCATCCGAACTGCAAAAGCTCGTCGTTGTGAAGACCTCGAGCAAGGGACTGCCGCCTTCGCTTTATCATCATCATCAGAAGAAGAAGCAGCCTACTGGAATATTTACATAAGGACACTTAGTAAGGAGAAGGACACAGCCTTGCACGAGGCAGTGCGGTTTAAGCACCTTGATGTGGTGGAGATATTGATCAGAGAAGACCCTGACTTTTCCTACCCTCCTAATGTTGCCGGGGAGACTCCACTTTATTTGGCTGCCGAGAGGAGATACAAAGCTTTGTTCTCCGAAATACTTCGCACTTGCAAGCATCCAACTTACCAAGGCCCCATTGGTAGAACCGCTTTGCATGCTGCAGTGATTCACGGTGATGAAGGTAGGTATATATAAATATAATAAACTTACATAATTAATTCTTTCTCCTTTTTCATTCATTTTCCCAGCAAACTAGCATGGGTATACGTATATATTTATAAGATTATTATTATACACTGTTTTTAGTTTTGCATTGATTAATTATTCTTTTTATATATACTTTTTAGAAATGACCAAAGAAATACTAAACAAGAAAAAGGATTTGGCGATAGCAGCAGACGAAAAAGGATGGACCCCACTTCACTACGCTGCATTCTATGATCGTGCTTCAATTGTCACACAACTACTAGAAGCTGATAAATGCAGTGCCTACATGCGTGACGAAGCTGATAAGAAGACCGCTCTTCACATTGCAGGCTCCAAAGGCCATGTTCGTGTAATGAAGCAACTTATTTCCTATTGTCCTGATTGTTGCGAAGTGGTCGACCAAAGACGTCGAAATGCTCTTCATTATGCCCTGGAGAAGCGTCAATCTCGAATTATAGATATTATTATGATGGATACATGGCTTAGCAACGTCCTCTTAAATGCAAAGGATGTTGACGGCAACACACCCCTCCATCTACTTAATGCTCCTCTCTGCACCGAGACTCCTTTCATTGTTTATGATAAGGTTGATAAGATGGCATTCAATAAGGAAAACATGAACGCTCTCGACGTCATTGAAGCTAAAGATTCTTCAACATTTAAGGTACGATATTTCATTAAACTTGTTTGTTTGTGTGTGACAGCACATGTCGGAATGATGAGCAGTAATTTAGCCCTCATTTTCTTAGACCGAAAGAAAATTGTGCACGATGATAGACTATTTGATTCAAGGACGGAGCTCAAGCCAAGTCTAAAGTTGCCTTGACCCTTTTGCTCTTTTTCTCATAACAGACAATTGAACTAGTATATATTGGCCCCTCATTTTAAAGTAAATAATAAAATCATTTACTACGAAGTTTTTAACTTAATCCCCTAATTTAAAAATTATTTCCATAAGAAAAAAAAAATTCTAGCTACCTCTCGTTGCGTGTATTATTGCGGATATGTTGGAACCGCAGGTTATTCCAATACACTTTTGTAATTGAAAGAGAAATAACAATTTAGACTGACAGGGTTTGAATACGGTCTTCGTAGCTTTTGGGTATTCCTTTTCAGTTAAGTATCATGTAGTCTTTTTCTTTTAAGTACTTATGGTTAGGTTAAATTAATAGTCCCTCGCCCTCAATTATTAGTTAGGTGATGATTTGTGTCGGAGACACAACTGAAAAATTGCACCACTATACTCTTTGGTCTGTGTTGCAGGGATATCTCGCGAATGAGTTGAAAAGGAATGGTGCATCATCAGGCCATCGAATTCTAAGCGAAAATGATAATGATGGCCAGAAATTAAAGGAAAACGAAGGTGGCGAAGACACTGAAACGTATAAAAATATAAGAGAATCCCATCTGATAGTGGCTACACTCGTAGCAACTGTTGCATTCGCAGCAGGTGTCACCATGCCTGGTGGTTATTACCAAGCATCAGATCAGGGAAATGGCACGAGTAACGTATCAAGGCAAAACGTTACGGCCCCAAGTAATGGACCAACTCCCGGTTATGCAGTTCTATCAAAAACTCAAGCTTTCAAATCTTTTTATATATTCAATATGATAGCCTTGTGTTTGTCTTGGTGACGACAAGGTGGCAGAGCAACTCATGTATTTCCTTTTGTGTGTAAAGACTCTTTTTGAGTTGGGTGTAAGTTTGTAGTCTATAGTTACGAGAGTTTAAAGGTGGTTGTAAGTTTGTGCCTTGATGTGTATTGTATAAGCTTGATATTGTCGTATGAATTTGTGCATTTAGAATTGGTTTGTCACTTACTTAAGTTTATCTTTTTATTTCAATTGCTTGTGACCAATTTATCAACTAAAATAGCTAATTCTTTTGGATTGAATGATGACAACACTAAAATTTAAAAATGTAGTATAGGGATTAATTAAATTTAATTAAGCCTATTTTCTAAATCACTACATGGTGGAAATCTAGTTTCTTCTAAAAGCTGTTTAGTAAGTACTTAACATAAATATTGTTTCTCTGCTTCTACTAAACTGAATGAATTGTTCATGTCACATCCCGGATCGGCTCTACCGTAGCACGATATTGTCCGCTTTGGGCCCCCCCTCTCTGGCCCTCACGGTTTTGTTTCTAGGAGCTCACGACCAACTTCCCAGTGGGTCACCCATCCTGGGATTGCTCTAGCCCCAAACTCGCTTAACTTCAGAGTTCCTACGACTCCGAAGCCAGTGAGCTCCCAAAAGGCCTCGTGCTATATGGATGCGGGTGTGTACATATAAGGCACATCACCCACTCTCCGTTGGTCGATGTGGGATCTCACAGTTCATGTGTTCGACTATATTTTCTGACCACACAAACTATTTATAACCGATTAAGCATACTGTAAGTTGAAGACCGCACACCACACAAATATATGTTAAATATCTCGCACAAGTAATTTGTCCACTACGTTACTAATTACTATTAACAGAAACACCTACCAACAGTGAAATTCTTGAGTAAGAGATGAAATATATCATAGTAGCTGATACCACCATGCTCAATTAAACTTCTCAATGCTCAAATATTGAAATTGATCTTCAATTTGTTCGTGATCGTGTTGCTCGTGGTCTGCTCCATGTTTCCTACGTTTCCACCACTGACCAACTTGCTGATGCCTTGACCAAGCCACTGTCTCGCCATCGCTTTCAGCATCTCCGTTCCCGAGATCGGCGTCAATGACAGACTATTTGATTAACGGACGGAGCTCACACCAAGTCCATAAAGTGGCCTTGACTGATTTGCTCCTTTTCTAACCCCTTGTAAGTTCTAAGACATGGAAAAACATATATTATAATACATAAAATTTCACAATTGAGCTAGTATTGGCACCTCATTTTAACCCATATAAGTTTTTAGTATTTTAATAAATAAAGTAAATTATAAAAATTAAAAGAAAAAACCCAAAGGAATCTTCAAGAAACTAATTTGCAATTCAATGAAATTTTTTGGATTGGCAAATGGGACTAAGAGATTTTTGTTTTTTTTTTATATGCGAACGGGACTAAGAGTTAAGAAATGCGAACTTGCTTGCTTTCATTTCGTGCAATAAGAAATTATGTTTCTTAAACGACTTTGTGATTCTTTTCTAGAGCGCAAATGGGACGACTCAGCGTTATAGTCAACTACGTACAACTTGAGAAATGCAAGCTTGCTTGCTTGCTTAGCATTATAACTCACTCTTTTAATCATTGTTTTCAGTTTGGACTGGGTCGAAAAAATTGTGAACTCAAAGAATTACTGACTTAATCAAATCAAATCGAATAATCGGTTCGGTGTGGTTGGTATGCGGAATATCAAATGCATTCCCTTTTAGTCAACTATAAATTATAAAAGGTGATATTGCTTGCTTACCAAGTTACCATTGTTAATTCATTTCGTGCAATAAATTATGTTACTTTTGGCGGGTCCTTCGGAGATCCAACCAAGCAAGATGCACTTTTAATTAAAAGGGAACCAATTGGATAATAGAACCTCCACGGCAAAACTAGGATTTGAATAAGTCAACGAACCTGTGCTTGGTTTGATGACCTCTCTTTGTAAGACGCTCTATATATAATTTGACCTTTTTCCCCTCTTCTTCTTCACTCTTCACCCTCTCAATCTCATCTGTTAATTCATTAAACCCAGTCTTTCATCCACTCATCTCATCTTCTGATTAATATCCCAACATCCACTCAAAAAGGGCCGTTGGTTTAGAGTATCCGATACTTCCATTCGCCAAAAGCTCACTTTTTGACTTGTGCGTAAAGGAAAAAACCAAAATGGATCATTCGACCGATCAGACTGAGAGTAGTACTCCATTAGCATCGGCCAATGCCGTTGATCAGGAAGCTGCAACTGACAACACAGTTTTAATCAGGGGCATGGATCTTGATGCTTTCAACGCTGCAAAAAAAGGCAAAACTGATGTCCTTAGGGGATACCATCTTGACCAAATATTGACTCCAACCAAGAACACAGTCCTCCATATTTATGTAGCTTTTGCAAGCAGCCCAAATTACGTCGAACCAGAAGAAGAAGAGCTGAAGCCACCCAGCGTTGTGGATAAAATCCTTCAAATGTGTCCAGCACTGCTATCGCAGGAGAACGAGATTGGCGAGACTGCCTTACACATTGCGGCCAGACATGGGCGGGCTGATATAGTTGAACGTCTTATCGAAACTGCAAAAGCTGGTCGTCGTGAAGACCTTGAGAATGGGCCCTCATCATCAGTAGAAGCCTGGCAGACGCTCATAAGGGAAACCAATAAGGAGAAGGACACAGCCTTGCACTTTGCAGTGCGATTTAATCACTTTCGTGTGGTGGAGATACTGACCAGAGAAGACCCTGAATTTTCCTACTCTGCTAATGATGCTGGGGAGACTCCACTTTATTTGGCTGCCGAGAGGAAATATGGTGTTTTGTTCTCTCAAATACTTAGCACTTGCAAGGATCCAAATTACCAAGGCCCCAATGGAAGAACGGCTTTGCATGCTGCAGTGATTTACGGTGATAAAAGTATATAAACTTACATTTTCTTTTCCTTTTTGATTCACTTTACAATTATACGTTGTTTTTTATTCACTTTCCTTTTTGGTTGGATATTTCTAACGCTAACTGAATCAAGCCAATGGTGAACCGACCACGGTTAGTAAAACCTATGGATGGGTCAATCCCAAAAGACGTCTCACCAATGACGTTGGTTCGGTTGTTACAATGTCTCTCTCGGTTCATCTTTGTTCGGTTGCCTAATCCAGTTTGTATTTATTTTTATTTCGTTTTTTATTTTTAGAAATGACCAAAGAAATACTAGAGAAGAAAAAGGATTTGGCGATAGCAGCAGACGAACAAGAGTGGACCCCACTTCACTACGCTGCACTCTCTGGTTGTACTTCAATTGTAAAACAACTACTGCAAGCTCATAGATCCTCTGCCTACATTGTTGACAAAACTGATAAGAAGACCGTGTTGAGAATTAATGACTAACTCACTGCCCTTTTAAGATCTTGTTGTTGATGGACTTTGGACAAAGAACTCAATGATGGATGAGTCTTACACACACACACAGAAATTAACCAAGCACAAATGACACAAGTGTTTATAGAGGTTCAGCAAATTGCCTACATCCTCTTTGATGATCACCTTGAGAAATTTCACTAATGAAGATAGGTTACAACTTTGGTTTACAAAGGAAACCCCCTTAGAACACTACCCTCACAATCTGTTTCTCTCACACCCTTGCTCAACACCTTGATACACTTAGAGAACTCTCTTGCTCTCCCCTTAGTTTTTCTGAACACACAACTAAAACTTCAG